CCACAGACCCTCCCGGGGCGGGGCAAAGGCTTCGGCAAAGCCCCCCCCCCCCCCAGGCACCCCAGGGAGGGAATGAAGCCAGAGGATGGGAGCAGCCATGGGGAAAGGGGGGTCCCGTGGAAGCCCAGAGAGCAGGATGGGGTCCTGGGGCTCCCTAGGGGTCCGGGGGGGGGGACACAACACACAACAGTGATGCCCGGCCCTCACCTCCGTGGCGTAGAGGACGCTGATGATGCCGGTGATGATGGGGCTGTTCTCATTCTCGTGCTCCTGGCAGATGAGCTCGATGTCCCGCAGTTTGCTGAAGTAGAAATCCCGCTCCTTCTCCAGCCCGTCCACCGTCAGCTTCAGGTCCATCAGCTGCAGGAGAGGAGGGACACACACACACACACAGAGCCATCAGCCCCGGGCCGGGAGGGGGATGCTCCTGGGGGTCTCAGAGATCCCCCCCCTGCAGGGTGTCTCCATCTCCCCCCCCTTACCTGCTGGTTGAGCTCCAGGATCTGCGCGTCGGCCTCGGTGCCCCCGTTCCGGGCGGCGGGGGAGTTTTTCCGGAGGATGCTGCTGGGGACGTTGCTGAGACGGGCTGGGTTCGACGTGCTCTTGGGGCCGGTGGGGGAGGTCCTCTGGGGGACTTGACAGCAGCAGACGGGGACCAACGGGTTAATGCCGGCCTGGGGGGGGCTGCTGGCGGGGCCCCCCCACCAGGGCAGGGGGCAGGAAGGACAGGCAGAGTGCTGGGGGGGCTGAGCCGTGGCTCCAGGCTGCCCCTGCCCTCAGCCTCCTCCCCTGCCTCAGTTTCCCCAGGTGGGGCTCACCCCCAGCCCCACATCAAGGGGTGCTCGGGGGCCTTTGTGGTGGGATGGGGGGGGTCTGGCCCTTGAGATGCTCCCGTGGGGCCAGCACAGGGAGCCCACGGTGGCCATGGAGCAGCCTGGTGGCACTCGGGCACGGTGGTGGCACAGCACGGGGGGATGGCAGCCATAGGTGGGGGGCTGGGGGGGACAGACCACCCCCAGACCCAGGGTGAGCAGGATGATGGAGGCAGCCAGGCCCTGCCCAGCCCCCCCGGGGTCCCTCCGTCATCC